ATTTTTACTGCAGCGTTGCTATAGCATCGGGTGCCTTCCTGCTTTCATTTCTTTTGCTGTGCTTTTCTTTCAAAATGCTTTCACCGACACTGCCCTTGGACTTCCTGCACTATACACCCAGAGTCAACACACTTTCATTGAATATGAGGACTAAATCCATGATGTGACGAGATTGTTCCACAAATATCAACCTTTAACCAACTAAACAAAAACTAACTAATGTTATACGAAATACTAATACTAAGGCATTTTACCTTGAAAAAATAAGTAACTACTAAGCCTAAAAGTATGCTAAATAATTCTATTTTATCGAGTTATCAGCATATAATAAAAACTGGAGTCAACAGTCATTAATCCATTTTCGGGAGGTGTGGCCCTATTCATTACATGTTTTCAACTTGTGATTATTTGAAAAAAAATATATAGAGAGGGAAAAAGATAATATACGCATTTCATTTGCGTATATTATTTACTCAAAAATTTTTGTACTTCTATTTTCTTTCAGCATTTAAGTGTTGATGTTAAGCTGTTTTGCAATATAACATGGACTTCCCTTCACACTCGCCTCTTGATGCAGACATCATGTGAGATCAAGTTGTTCTTGGCGTTAATTTTCCACCTAGTTTTTTCCCTGCCTAGTTACATTATTGAGGCTTTTCTTTGTATATAAGTTCTACAATCTAATCGCCACGTATTTGTAGTCTTATCGCATCAAAAGTGAGGATCAATCTATTTTTTTGAGTTTATATGTAAGCAATGAAGACTCATGCATCATTGAAGTGATCATGATTTCTCCAACTCTCTGTACAACATATGCAACTAAACTATGTAGTTGTGCATAATTTAACTAGTCCTTGCTTTATTTACAAGTTAAATGGTGGAAGACAAGACTTCAAGACAAGACTTCAGGTTTGTCCTTAAATAATTTTTATCTGTCTTGGTAAATCTATATCTATGATGTTTAATGAAATGATGCTTATAATTTGCATAATGTTTATCATCCTAAACCTGTGTTTGTCTGTCTTGGTTGTGAGATGCTTTAATTAGGGACAAGTCTTGGTTGTGACATGCATTAATTACTGTGTCCCTCGTTTTATGAATTCTCATCTATTTGATTTATTTGTGCTTATGGATTTGACTCTCTTACCTTTTACTAGCTGCTTGGAAACTTTTTTTATTTTTTTTATTTTTGATTTAGCATGTGTTCATTTGTTATTTTGTTGGCTTTTGTTATTTCTTACAGGTCAATATAATGAGTACTATTGAAGAAGCAATTTCAAGTAATGTGGCATGGCCTGTTGATAAAATTTTAAAGGAGTATGAAAAATCTTTATTAGCTGCAAATTTGTTTTAACCAAAACATTATATGATTGTGATAGCAAGTTTTTTTTTTTCTCTTCGGGTTTAAATGTAGGCAATGAAGACTCGTGCTTTCTCCAACTATTTACATAACAATACATGTAAGATACTCTCTGTCTTACAAGTTTGACATTCAATTTTTGCCTAGTGCATCATTGAAGTCATGTTTCCTCTAACTCACTGCAAAACATATGGGGATGTGGCTATGTAGTTGTGAATGGTGTAACTAGTCCTTGTTTTATTTATAGGTTAAATGGTGGAAGTTTTAGCTGAGTGTGATTATTGTTTTGGTAGTGGATCACTTTCGTACAGGTTAAATAGTGGAGATGACTTTTTTGTTAAAGTATTTTGTCAAGATGAAAGGATTTATTTCACCATTTCATTTAGCTAAATGTTTTGGATACTTTGATATTTCTAGCTATTCCTCTGTTTTCTTTACTTGTTTTGAATGTTAAGGTTTTGGACATTGTATGACTTGTGTTGTAGATATAATCGTATTGCCAACTTGATAGATATTGATAACAATTGATGCGTTGAATGTTTTTATGTTTTAATTTGAATGTTCATATTTAGATATAAGATGTTGCTCGGAATAATCATCTATTTGAATGAATTTAAAAAAATATCAATAATAATTTTAAAAAGCTACAAGAGTATGAACGTAACAAGGGAAAAAGTTATTAATTTATACCGTAGCTATGCTAAATAACTGTAAGAGGTTGAAAATAACTTGCCTTAAACGCTATAAGACCTCAATTTTATAGCGTTTTTCATAACGCTCTTAGAACACCATGTTTTTTTACGATTTTTAATAGCGTTTGATGTCCTAGTGCTCTATAAAACGCTATTGGTAGTGTTTAATAGTGTTTTTGGTCAGCTATTAATACTGATATTTGTTGTAGTATATGATTACTCTTAAAAGGGTATTTCACTTCCGCACTCATGCACCTTTTTTGTTCAAGATTAGAGAATATTCGATATCAATTTAATCAAATTTGTTATTGAATCAAGAGTTTAGATACTTAGGCCTCGTTCGTTTCGCTGATTCGAGTTGAGATGTGATTTTATGTGAGAGTTTTTTACTGTAGTAAAAAAGTTAGATGTGACTGTTTCTGAGAGCTTTTTACTGTAGCAAAACTCGAATTCTAAACTCGAATCGGTGAAGTGAACGGGGCCTTAATTGTCAAAATTAAAAGATCGACAATCAAGTGGGCAATTACAAACAATTCAGGGACATTTGCGCTAACTACCCCCTTTTTTGTTTTGACACTACACGAATATCAGCCTTCTACGACAAATAATTAAGAATTGTTTTGATGCTCACTTAAGTCATGTGTGCATTTTTCCGTCCAAAATAAAATGGTCGTTTTCAATTACATATAGAATTTGCCAAAATTAAGAACTTGTGAACTTTATAGTGGAAATTAAAGATTGAAAACCAAGTTATTACTTACTCAAGAGTTTGGGAACTATGAATGCTAGCTAATTATTATTATTATGTTCTTGAACGGTGAAAGAATAATGAGACATTTGGTTTATAGATTCAGAATCATAATTTATGATTCCGATTTATCAAATTTAAATTTTTTGTAAAAAAAAACCACTGTAAAAAGCTAAAAATTATGATTCAGAATTAGAAATGAATCTTTAAAACAAACATCCCATAAATTACCTCATATCAAGGAGTGCTAAATACAACTTATATTTCACTCTTTTTCAGATATTAACCTCTTTTTTTGACATGTGGCATGCCCACTTTCTTAAACAAATCCACTTAATAACAAGTAATTTTTTTACACTTATTTATAAGAGTGCCATTATTATTTTCTTGTTTTGCTCCTGCTCTAACACTGCACATATTGCAATAGAAAGAAAAAAAAAATCAATACACAGTGTAAGAGTACTAATTAAGAATTAACAATTCTATAAATACTAGTATATATTAACGAGACTAACACATATACGGCGAAATAAATTACTGTGCAAAACATATTCGTTCCTAAGGGAAAGTTCAACAAAAAAAAAAGAAAAAGAAAAAAAGTCACCCAATAATAAAGCACAACAAACATAATCTTCTAGCAAGAAAAAAAAGAACCCAATAACTTAAACCTGAATTATAAAAAAATGTCGTCCAAAAAGGTGGAACAAAATATAATTTAATCCCAAATTAATTGAGGTCAGCTAACAAAATATACATACATACGAAACTGGAAAAAAAATAAATAAACCTTAGTCATCCAATAACACATTTTTGACCAGCGGTGCAAAACAAAAGGACAAAAAAAAAAAGAAGAAAAAAACGTCAACAAGATAGAATAATAAGAAAAGCTCGAGCAAATATATATAATAATAAGAAAAGCTCGAGCAAATATATATACCTGAGTTTTTTTCTCCTTTCGCTTTGTCTTCTCGTCAAAGAGTATTGCAGCACCAAACTCTTCCAATAACTTTCTGAGTCAAAGTAATTTCTATGGTATTTTATCCTTTTTTTTTTTTTTTGGGTCTGCTGGAATATGTAAAGTCAGTTTTAGAGCCAAAAAGAAGAGAATGACACTCTTATTTAAAAAAAAAAAAAAAAAGACTTAAGAAGTGAGTTTGTTTAAAAAAGTGGGGATGCCACGTGTTAAAAGAAGAGGCTAGCATTTGAAAAAGAGTCTAAAACAGAAGTTGTATAATACAAATTCCGAAATAAAACTTATTGGCATAAACTAGTTATGGGAATCGGATAGAATGCCAATTCCGGGGGGCTACTTCTGAATTTGATTCATGGTTTCAATCACAATTCTTAATTTGAAATGGGGAGCTTACCTAGATTCAATTGATATTTCGAAGGAAAAAAATGAATGTGGTTAGGATTTCGAAAAAGAAAAATTTAGATTAGACTTCCAGTTAAAATTGAATATTGTTAAAAGCCGTGCGTACTTCTAAAAGTTGAGGAGACAATGTTTGAAAATATTGAGTAACCAAAAAAAAAAAAAAGTTAACAAACTTGGATGGAAGACAATTAATGAAACAACTTATAAAGCATCTCTAATACAATGCTAAATTATACTACACTTAATGGTTAATTTCACATCAAGTTTAATATATGCTAAATTTTAGTATTTAATTATTATTGGTCGATGTAACAATGTTTTCATCAAATCATTAATGATATTAGTATTTTCAAATTATTTTAAAATTTTAAAATTAATTTACTTTATTTATTTATAACTTCCAGAGTTTAATGATTATGAGAAAAAATAGATATATAGTATTTAAAATATTACATATTGGGGCCAAATCAAACCAGTACATCAAAATGCTGTTTATAAGATTTTTTGGTGCCAAATATAATATTAAAAACATTATTTGAGAATATTTACATCCATGACTCTCTTTGCTCCTCTCTCTCCACTAAAGTATAAAATAGAAAACTATTAATTAATACCAATTGCTATATGAAAGGAAACAAGATAAACTCTAACGCAAGAAGCTTCCAGAGGAATTGAAAGAAATTTGCACATGCCACCTGTGTGTAAAATAATATAAACCTTGTAAGCATTATTACTAATTAAATATTCGTGACTACGATAAACATGTACTTGAGATTAGCTGCATATTAATTATTTGTTATAGAAAAATATAGCTGCATATATTACCTTGGCATAATTTGCTTTGTCTAACTTCCTGGCCTGAAATCACACAAGAACACAAGTTGGAAGTGTTTTTTTACTTTTATTTATTGACTTATCGATTATACTAGAATATATATATATATATATATATATATATATATATGACAAACCTGAAAAAGCAAGCACAAGGTGAATATCGAGTGAGCAGACAACATTAAGTAACGATTGAATGCCTGTAAAAAGAAAGTAATTGTTTATGAGATCGTCTTCTCCACACAAATAAGCATGATCAAATGAGGGAAAAAGAACTATACGGGAAACTGGATGAAATCTTTTAAAATAATGCATATAAAAATATTTTTCGTTTGTTTAGTTGTCTTTTATTTTATATAGTTAACTAATACATATAGTTAAATCTATGATTTCATGATTTACTAAGAGTAAATTAGTGACTTACTTGAGTAAATCAATAATTTAGCTTTAGTAAATTAATAAAGTACAAAAAATGGACCCAAAAAAAAAAACAGGAAAAATTTACAAACATATGTCCTTTTAAAAAAGAGTAAGATCTTTGGTATCTTTGCAAATATTACAAAACAAAATTGCATACGTAAGCTTTAAGATGAAAAATTAATTACCTGAGGCATGTAAATGGCAGCAACTATAGCACTAACATAAACCCACAAGAGCAACCCGGTGCCAAGGAGCACAATATTTCTAAGTCCAAATACTGCTGCAAATGTTACTATGTTATGCCTGTAATTATTTTGATGCATATATTCTTTTATTAGATGATACTGGAGATACTGGCTAAAAAATTGTTTCTTGATGAAAAGAGTGATCAAAATGGAAAATTTGAGAGATTTTAAGTCCAGAAAATACGATAACATATAAAAATAAATACAACTTACTTCATATCACCTTCCACGTCCGTGATATCTTTTATGATGCTAAGGGCGACAAAAAACAATGTAGCTACGGTTGTGATGAAAACAATTGAGGGGCTGCAGAGTGATTGAAAAGCCAAACACTTGAGATTTCTATAAAAAGTTGAATAACTAATTGTGTGTTATAGTTGAAATATATAGATTATAGTTGCGGATTAATGATAATTATGACAAATAATTAGTCAAATAGATAAAGGAGGAGGAAGGTTTTGAGAGAGGGTGCTGATGAGGTAAAGATTTTTTTTTTTTTGCTCTCTGCTAGGATTTCTGCTTAGTCTAGGGTTTCTGGTTGTCATTTGGCAATTTTTACTCGTGGCCGCCATGTTTTCTCGCCGATTTCCAATGATTTTTAAAGGCAACTTAACACAAATTAATCGACGACTCTTGAACAAGCCATGACTGGTCATATTAATGTTGCTAATCAGGGCAAAATAACAATTCTAATGCAACAATTTCAATTCGAAAACATATTCAGATTATGTATTAATTAACAAAATCTGCAGTGCCGATCAAGAACAATGATCATGTCTATTAGGCATGTCACAGAAAGTTGTATCATGAGCGTATTGCAAAATGTAATTTATTCTTAATAGGTCGGTTTCCCAGTCTAAAAAAGAAAAACCATAGAAAGTAATGGATTAATTAAATGACAAGGGCCTTCAGATTTTTGGGAAATATCTCTAGAGAGTGGAAATTAATTTTGAAGGACAAAGAGCAAGGAGGAAAAATAATTGTTTTGAAAAATTATTACACGTACCTCCACTGAAATAGAAGTCCGAGAGAAGATCTGGAGGCGTAAAGTATGCCCACATTTTGAATTACTCCACAGATCTGCATGTATGTCGCTTTTGTTATTCTTTTCCTCTAGAATGACATATGAAAACCTAATACCACAGTTTCTCTCCCGACTTTATAATTTTTTTCTGAGAATGGATAGAGATATTGGCTTCAGAGCTACTAGACCATTAGATTAATGATATTCTAAATTGTATTTAACTAATTATATTATGAGACAACATTGAATGAACTCAAACATTAAAACATGAAAGAGTTTGTTAAAAAAACATTTCAAAATTTTTTAAATGACGTGTGACATAACGTGATTGGTTATAAACTATTTGAGACATTAAAATTGAACAGGTAATCTGAGTCATTGACCATCCCAAACAAAGAGGACAATCAATTCCAATACTAGTGTCTCTCTTCACATTACAAAAAAATTTATAAATTGAAACAGATTCACTACACAATTGAGAGGACTGAAAGAAAAATATTAATACCAAAGGAACCAAAATGACCGTTGCGATAGAAGATCCCTTAAATCTAATGGGAGGAACAGAATAGAAGGTGCTTAGTAAAAGACCAAGACAATAAAAAGAAGTAGTGATTAGATCAGCATTCGTTAGCTGAAGTATTAGCAGGCCAACAAGCACATCAAATATCACGAAGAACCATGCTTGTTTCAGTGATATATCCCCAGCTGGTATAGGCAAATAAGGTTTATTTATCCTGAAAATACAATACATAAAGACAGAATAAGCTTTTTTTTTTTTTTCAGCAATCCATATTAAAGAGCAAATAAAATAAAAAGGGGTTTTGCATGCACTTATTTTGAGAAAATTACAATTTCTACTCCGACTGTGGAGATGTCCATCATGAACATAAATAATAAATCGAAAGCCAAGACTATATGGCTATAGATCCTCTTTACTCCGAGACAAAAGAAAACTCTTACCCAAGTGTCTCTAATCCATGCAGATATGGATCCAACAGAAATGGTTATTATTGAAATTCTTTTTTCATGTTGTTGATTTAGAGGCAATATAACTGAATATTTTGTAATCATGAAAAGAGATACATATATATATATATATATATACAGACACACACTTGGGAAACGTACCTGTCAATTTCGACATCGAAAATCATATTGATGCCATTAGCATAAGCAAAGGCAAGCATTACAGCAATTAAGCCAGGAAATGCCTTAAATAAGACAGACCATTTGAACAACTTTGGGTTCTCAACTAGTACTCTTGCAAACAAACATCTGGTCAAGAAAATAGAGAATATGCATAAATAAGTTACATCCAATTGGGTTTTAAAGAAAGAGAGAGGTTTGTAATTTGGATTATTGTCACTTATACCCCCATAAACTTTAAGGCTATTTCAATTTTGCCCTTTAAACTCTAAAAACTCTCACTTTACCTCTTAATTTGTGTTGATCCCACTTAACCCCATTTGTAAGAGTTTATGTTATAAACAAAGGGAGACCTTATCTGTAAGAGCTTATGTTAAAAACAAAGGGAGAAACAGGGTGTTAGTGACATCAATATTTGGTCCTTTTTTTTTGTTTGTTTTCAATATAATTCTAACAGAAAAGGTAATTAAGTGAGAGTATTTCTCCTTTTTTCCATTGTGTATTATCAAAAATTTTAATACAAGGAGTTAAGTAGGACTATTTCATAATTTAAGAAGTAAAGTGAGAGTTTTTAAAGTTTAAATGGTAAAGTAAGAATAATCCTAAAATTCCAGGGTCATATATGAGAATAATCCTTATAATTTTATGTCATGCAAATTTGTGTTTTTTTTGCTTTCTTCTAATTTACTATAAAAGTTTACTTACGTGGTGGATATCATTGATTGACGCAATGCATACGGCCTTGCGAATTTGAACCAAGAAAATCCAAAGCGCAAAACTTCATCAAGTACCGAAACGAGACCGGCTGATTTGACTTGAGTTTTGGCAAGTACCGGATCAAAATCATCAGATTCGACTTTAGCGCATGCCTAGCACCAATTATTTCACTTTATAAGCTGAATTGGAAACTAATTGGACATTTGGACTAACTAATTAATAATCAAATCACAAGAGTAACTGTGGCACGTTTAATTAATGAAAATTGCGAAATGGCTCCTTTGCGAGCTCTGGAAGTATGGCTTTAGCACATTACTAAAATGATATCATATGAAGGCTCTTCTCATCAAGAGTATGTTCTTTTCAGGTAAAAGAAAATCCACATTTGATGCGTTTTCGACTTTCAGGTGGATGCCCTAGAGACTATTTTCTATTGCTCGAGGATTCTGACGACGAACTTGTATGGACGTACCAAGTCAGATTTTGGGAGGATTTCAGTTCGAGAGGCTTATGATTGTTTTCGGCGTAGGGCAAATCATGTGTACTCTTGGGGTGTCTTGATTCAGCAGAAGTACATACCGCCGAAACACCCTATTCTTGCGTCGAGGGTTTTGAATGGTCTTGTTCCTACTGATGATACAATAAAGAAAATGGGGGTGTGGTGCTTCGTTCTCGTTGTCTAAAAAGGAAAGTTTAAAGGAGTCGTTTTTTCAATATTTATTTTGGAAATTTTTGTTTGTGTCTAACAAGCCTATAAAAAAAAATAAAAAAAAATTCTCTATTCATGTGAACTCTCCATTGAAAAATCTTGGAATAGCTGTTGGTCTCTAATCTCTTGGTCATTTGGTTTCTTCGAAACGAAGTCACACATATTAAAAAAGTAAGCGTTGTAAAATTCAGATCGCTACTTCGATTATTTGGCGATTTATTAGAGAACCTGATTTCATTAGCACTGGCTCCATAAATAGTAATCAGGATGATTTACTTTTTCTTACAAATTTTCATATTATTGGATCTTGTCGTGAGGCCCCTCGCGATGTTGCGAGGTTTTTAGATGAGGGAGAGAGAAGAACAGAGAGGAAAGTTGAGAAAGGTTTCGAATCTGACTGTGAGGCCCCTTTACTCCTTAAGGTGTTTTGGCGAAGGTTTCGTGTGTTGGCCACCAAGCACACACACGAATGAATCAATGGAAATAAAAAAATATAGCAAATATTCTAGTATCTTTGAATCGTTGTTAATTTTGTTTAAACACATAAATTTTAAAAAGAGGGGCACATAAATTTACCTTTCCAATTATTCCTATTGCTGAAAAACAAACGTGCCTCGCTTAAGATTGCTTGGTCAGATGGCACCGGGGAGGGTTTGGGGTCGATCCCATATTGTGTATATATATATGTGTGTATATATATATATATATAAACAAACGCACCTCCCTAAAAAAAGTGCCATATATAAATGTAAAAGTTGTAAAATATTTACCCGGATGGAATTACGCTCATGTTGGTTGGATAACAAAGTCTTTGAGAACCTGCTTTCTCCATAGAGCCCCAATGGCAGGGTCAATTTATTGGCGGAACATTTTGAAGGAGAGTTGGAGGATTTGATATTCTTGGTGGTGGGCTTAATTGGTATGATGATCAACCTATTGTCATGCCAAGAGGCCTCGCAACGTCGAGATATAATAGCTGGTACTCTAAGGGAAGAGTGAGAGATTTTGAGCTCCATGTGTGTTAACGGAAAGAACAAGGCATAAAAGGACAATGAGAAGAAAAAAGTGTTGAAAACAAAAGTTTCAAGAGCTTTAAAATTTATAGATGCATGTCATGAACATAGATTATAATTAGACGTTAATTTTCTGGTTACAGATCATATTCTTATCCATTCTTTGATAACTACACTTTTCTTGTAACTTTACAATATTCCAGTATGATTATCTCACTTTCCTTGTGTATAATTAGTTCATCTCTTCTTGGACTAATATAACTTTTTTGTATGCTAATAATGCCGGCCTTGCGTTCTTCACTATGATTGAATATGTGAAAGCGTTATCCACTATGGTTCATGCCTAGTGCTAGTATAATTCGGCAAATACATCCTCGTTTTTAATTTTATATGGAAGTCTTGGCTACGCCAAAATTACTGAATAAGTCGTAAGAATAATTGATTTGTTTTGTTTTTATTTTATTTTATTGTTATTATTATATTGTGTGTGTGCGTGTGTGTGTGTGTGTGTGTGTGATCAGTTTCGCGTAGGGCTGTGCTAATTGAGTCCAAACTAAATGAATTTGGAAGCTTAATTTTCCCCCTAAGAATAGGATTTTCTGTCCCAATCAGTTACAATATGGTTGAAATACTAATTCTTATCGATCGCAATCTCCGACGCTGGTCCTTAAAGACAACGTCCACATTTGATTCAACAATTTGAACCACTAGATTCATAATCCTGATCATTTTCCCTTTATTTTTGCGTGAAGACTTAATTATGATCGTATCCCTTATTATAATACAGACATGGTGATTAATGGGGTATGAAGAAATCGATAGGTATTTTTACCTAGCCCAGAATATATCTTTTTTTTTTTTTGAGTTTTCAACTTATCAAGTTCAAATAGCATAAAAGAATTTTCCAAAAGAAAAAATTGAGAATTTATTCTTAAGGGTGCATAAGTATGGACTTTTACCCCTTACTCTTGATAAATACTCTTTTGTTAGTGTAATTATTTGACTAAAAAAGTTATAAATCAAGAGTAAAAAGTAAAAATCCTTACGTACGCACTTTCAAAGGGTATTTATCAAAATTACCCTTCCTAAAAATATAAAAAAAAATCAAGTGGGCTGCATTTATTTTGGCCCAAAATGGGGCCCAATTCTAAGCATGATTTAAACTAGACCAGATAGTTATAGGGAAAATGAGACAAATTCCCCTTAAAAATGCGTGCATGGGTAAGGATTTCTACCCATTACTCTTGATTAATAACTCTTTTAATCAAATAACTATACTAATAAAAGAGTATTAATCAAGAAAAAATGGTAAAAATCTAGATCTATACACTCATAAGAGTAAATTCTGTAATTTTCTCATAATAATTTTTTAATTTAATTTCATTATTATATCGAAATAGTCATTTTCAAATTTCTGTTACTTGTAGGATTGTTCTAGCAATTAACGGGGCAATTTTCCTTAAATTATATCACTTATGTCAACATGTCTCCACTTATGTCAATATGCCTCCCAAATTTTAAAACGCAGTTGTTGTGCCCTAAACCTATATATATATATATATATAATAGTCTCTAGATTCACCCCGGAACTTTGAAACATGCTTTTGTTATGACAGAAATGCACATCTGATGCACATGACTTGTGTGCAAGCGCGGGACGTGCGGCCACGAACATCGCACCGAAAAGACGCCCCCTCACAGGCTTGGTTTTGCCTTTTTTTTTCAAGCACCGTGTAACTGCCAGTGAGCAATTAAATTTTGAATCCAAAATAATTAAGTTGGCTGCAATAAAAAGCATTTTTGTAACAACAAAGAATTAATCTCAGAATTGATTATGAGATAATTGCATGATTAAATGCCATGTCTCCATCCGAGTCCTATAAATTAGGACCTTTCACTTCTTGTTTAGTACACTAGAAAAATTCGAAGTCCTATTCTCATTCTCTTAGAAAAGAGAGTTCTTAGGTTCCAGTGTGATAGTTTGGAGATATTTCGGTTCACCATCTGGCCGAGTAGCTTTAAGTGCGTTAATTTTGCTCATTCGTCACTGCCATTGTATCTGGGGAGACAGACGCCATAAAACCTCGTGCACTATGGTGAGGGATGAATCAGTTTTCAATTCTTTATTTACGCGTTTACTGCTCGTCTCTTTCGTCATAATTTTCTTGGGTTACATTGGGAAACGGAGTTACAAATTGCAGAACATTTGTCCAATGAAAGCTTGGGGAGCATCTTGATGTGGTAGGACTTGAAGAGATGGATTGGAGTAGTTGTTAAAGTTCATGGGTGGACTGACAAATCAAGCGGTTGAAGAAATTCACAACTTGGAGAAGGCTAACTGATGGCATTATCTTTGAAGACTTGGAACGAAGCAACCGATTCTCGTTGGTGAACTTGCTGGTCGACTAGGCATTGGGTTTGAGGAAGTCAAGATGGCCAAAGGAGCATGCGACATTAATGGCGATTAGCATGGGGCAGTTTCGGCATTC